AATCAGCACCACTGTGATTCAACGGGTAAGTTGGGAATCAGGCCATGTCCCCTTCCCATGAGTAGATCAAGTCAACCTGCCTTTAACATTATTTTTTTTTTCATTTCAAAACAAATATAGAAAGATTCCCAAAATTCAAGCATTTCATGTGGAGCAAATTTAAAAGGAATGTTTGAAGTATACACACCAAAACAGCAAGGAAGGGCCTGGAGACATGCCACATCCCCCAGTGTGCAACAGACTGCACAAAACCTAATAGCACCATATGAAGATCCTCCTGCATCTTACTCGCTACTCCTTTTTCTGCTGCTTCTGGCCTCCATCCCATGCCAAGTATTCAGGTGACTGTTTCTTCTTGGCCTAGCCACATGTACTAACATCTCTCCAGCCTCTCTTAGCATCTGTCTCTTGGAGAACTGCCTTTTTTGCCCCTTCCTCTCAAGGGACGGTTCCACCTGGCCCGAACACTTGTGGTCTCTGGAAAGACCCTGCTACCTCTACCAGCTGATCCCATTTTCAGTGGCACCATCTGTCTGCCTCCCTCCTTGACCACTTTTAGCCCTAAGGCATTGCTCTCTTTGGTCACACCAAGTAACACAGCATCCTCTCTTGGCTAGAGGATGAGTTCTGACTCAATCCTCTCCACCTGTATTGCACTGTGCAACTGAGAGCAGTGGAAAGATACACAGTAATAATCACAGCGGGTTCATAATGACATATCAGCACCAGAAAGGCTTTGAATCAAGTATCAGTGCCAAGTATTTGTAGCAGATTTGCAACAATGGTATGCTGTGAGCTAGATTTAGGTGGAAAAATAATAGCTGAATGTGTCATTTGCAGGAAGCGTGATCATTACTTCTGTACACGCACACCCCAACATATCTGGAAATGCAGCATATAACTGATGAAACTCAATTTCGGTTAAATAGCTCTTCTTAGAATGGTGTACTATCAACAAGCTCTGGGGGTTTCAGAAGGGGCTACACAGGCAGCCAAGCATTTCCATACTATCTCCTTCACATGTATTCAATCTGCCTTATTGGCTAGGATATTATACTATTCTAAACGAAAATATAAGGCACTTTCTTATTAGACCTCAGAGCTGATGAAAATTTTTCCATGTATTTAAGCTTCTGTGCAGCATCCCACTACTGTAACTACTATAATTGGTTTTGTCCTACAAATTGCTTGCAACAGCTAACCCACCTGTAGACTGCAAAATGAAGTGTTGCAGCTTAGCACTGAGCTGCCTGGATGTGCAAAGCAGCATTTTGTATGAGATAAACCAAGGGGCTGATCAGAAGATACTTTTTCCCTAACTGCATAACAAAGCCATTGTGCTTCTGATGTGTCCATTGGCTAATCTGAAGTATGCCTGTATACTGAATGGGTAGAGCATCAAGAATCACTTACAAGATACAGGCCTGTAAGAGCAAGAGCAAACATTTAAAAATACTTACACAGTCACGCCTTGACAGCAATAGATTTCATGGTTCTAACAATAATTCAGTGTTGAAATGACAATAAAATAAAAAGCACACATCCAGTACATATTACAGGATGCACAGCTACACATATCTTAGAGAGAACAAGTCCAGAGGAAGGCCACGAGGACGATCTGGGGACTGGAGCACCTCCCGTATGAAGACAGGCTGAGAAAGTTGGGGCTGTTCAGCCTGGAGAAGAGAAGGCTGCGTGGAGACCTCATAGCAGCCTTCCAGTATCTGAAGGGGGCCTATAAGGATGCTGGGGAGGGACTCTTCATTAGGGACTGTAGTGACAGGACAAGCGGTAATGGGTTAAAACTTAAAGAGGGGAAGTTTAGATTGGACATAAGGAGGAAATTCTTTACTGTGAGGGTGGCGAGGCACTGGAATGGGTTGCCCAGGTGTCCTGGGTTCAGCAGTAGCAGTCATGTTTCTCCTTCTTGGTAGCTGGTGCAGTGCAGTGTTTTGACTTCGGCCTGGGTACAGAACTGATAGTGATGTTTTGGTTTGGCCAAGGACTTTGTGAGCCTCATGCTCTGCCAGGGAGGAAGGGAAGCCAGGAGGAAGCAGAGACAGGACACCTGACCCAAACTGACCAAAGAGGTATTCCGTATCACAGCACGTCATGCCCAGGATGTAACTGGGAGCTACCCAGAAGGGCTGGTATTCTGCAGGGTTGGTGCTTGGTTGGGCTGGGGGGGCGAGTTATCGGTCGGCTGGTGATGAGGTGTTATATTCTCTTCCCTTGTTATTTCCTTTATCATTATTATCACTGGTGGTAGCAGTAGTGATCTGTGTTATACCTTAGTTACTAAACTGTTCTTATCTCAACCCGTGGGAGTTCCATTCTTTTCGATTCTCCTCTCCGTCCCTCCAGGAGTAGGGGGAGGGAAAGAAGGGGGGGGAGTGAGTGAACGAGTTACCTGACTGGGTTTAAACCACGACAGTTCTTTTTGGCGCCCAACCTGGGGCACGAAGGGTTGAGATAACGACAGATTTGACTGGATTAACAATCACTCGTCACAATGCTGATTTATTGGCTCTCAGAGTTGTTCCTCTTGATCTCACAGCTTCAGAATGTTGTAACTTACTTAGAGCCGGTATTTGCTGTGTTAGTGTTTATCAAGCGTGGGGCTTGGGCCTCACTGTGCTTTATGGCAATGGCTTGTAATACGGGTGGGCTCCAGCAGCAGGGCGGGACGGACGTGGCCGTGGACTTGTACCTGGCCGTCCGGCTGCTCTTCACCGTCCTGGCCCTCACCCTACTCTCCATCTTCGTGAGGCTGCGGGGAGCAGAGGGGGAGCGGCCCCAGGAGCCGGCGGCTGCTGAAGCGGCCCGGGAGAGCGGCCCCGGGGAGCAAGCGGCGGCGGGAGCGGGGCCGGAGGCCGCGAGGGGACGGCTGCCGGTGGAGGAGGTCGGGGCGGTCGAGGAGCAGAAGGAAGCGGCTGCCGAGCAACGGGATAAGGCGGTGGAGCCCCGTGGCCGAGCCGAGCCCCGTGGCCGAGCCGAGCCCCGTGGCCGAGCCGAGCCCCGTGGCCGAGCCGAGCCCCGCGACAGCCGAGAGCATTCCCTGGAAGGCGCCCGCCAAGCCCCAGAAGGATGCAGGAGACCACGCAGCATTTCCCAGCAAGGCAGAGGAGGAAGAGCTGGACTCAGGAAAAGAGAAGCTGGTGGTGGGAGAGCCGGCAAGCACAGCAGCTGCACCAGCCCCAGTGACAAGTACAGCAGCTACACCAGCCCCAGTGACAAGTACAGCAGCATCAACTGAGAGTTCTGAAGGTTTCGAATGGCCTTTGGGTATCCTTGGGACCTGCCTGCTGATTGTGATGGGGATCAGCATGTTGGCACACACACAGACTGTGTTCTACCCACAACCATTTTGTCTGATCTCAAAAGTTAAGCAGAGTCAGGTTTGGGTCTTGTCTGGGGTCAGACGACGATGCAGGGGGACCAAGAGATTTTCCCCAAGGCTGGACAGTCAGGAGTGGCAGGGTGTGTGGGACAGTATGGGCAAGTATCTAGTCCACTGGGCCCCTCCAGTGCTTTGGAAGCATCGGAGATGGAAGGCAGCTGTATGGAGTCCCCAGCAGTAAGCTGCAGAAACTGCTTAAGGGGACAGTGAATTATTTTAAGCCTGGTGGGCCCATGGCACTTCAGGCCATCAGAGCAGAGATGCAACACAGAGATGGACTCATGATCGAGGGGTGGACTTAGCAATGGACACTATTGCCCAGGTTATTCACGAGTGTGAACACTGCACACAGTCTCTCCTGCTCTGGAAGACTGGTACAAGAGATGGAGCCTGGCATCATGGACCAGATGGACGCAGCAGCTTTATAGCTACTGGTCCATGCACTTAGATAAGAGTGATGGTATATTGAAAATGTGGGATCTGAGCATGACGTGAATGGTATGGAATAAGGGGTGGATAATGTCCTGGGTTCAGCAGTAGCAGGCATGTTTCTCCTTCTTGGTAGCTGGTGCAGTGCAGTGTTTTGACTTTCGGCCTGGGTACAGAACTGATAGTGATGTTTTGGTTTGGCCAAGGACTTTGTGAGCCTCATGCTCTGCCAGGGAGGAAGGGAAGCCAGGAGGAAGCAGAGACAGGACACCTGACCCAATCTGACCAAAGAGGTATTCCATACCACAGCACGTCATGCCCAGGATGTAACTGGGAGTTAGCCGGAAGGGCTTGGAGACTGCAGGGTTGGAGGAGGTATCGGTCGGAGCTTGGTCGCGCTTGGGGGGGGGAGTTATCGGTCGGCTGGTGATGAGGTGTTGTATTCTCTTCCCTTGTTATTTCCTTTATCATTATTATCATTGGTGGTAGCAGTAGTGATTTGTGTTATACCTTAGTTACTAAACTGTTCTTATCTCAACCCGTGGGAGTTGCATTCTTTTCGATTCTCCTCTCCGTCCCTCCGGGAGTAGGGGGAAGGAAAAAAGGAGGGGGGGGTGAGTGAACAAGTTACCTGACTGGGTTTAAACCACAACACCAGGGAACTTGTGAATGCTCCATCCCTGGCGGTGTTCAAGGCCAGGTTGGACAGAGCCTTGGGTGACATGGTTTCGTGTGAGGTGTCCCTGCCCATGGCAGGGGGGTTGGAGCTTGATGATCTGAAGGTCCTTTCCAACCTTAACTATTCTATGATTCTATGATTATGTCAGATAACTGATGGTATAAAAGAACATACTTGAGTGATGGTTTTGGAACGATTTTCTCCCCAGGATAAGATCTCAGACATTTGTCATCTATCTTGGTCCTACCAAGCTAAGGAGGCTGACAGTGTGAAAGAGAAAACCTACTGTAGCTTCCACTTCATTTGACCTGTAAAGAGTATCTACAAAACACCAGAGTTCTAATGTTTCAGAAGCAGCTATCAATAACAGACAGGCATAAGAAGCATTTTTTTACTAGTCGCATTACCGCATATATTACCCCAGTTTTGAAATGAAAGAAAACCCAGTATCCCCAAGTTTATCAAAGACTGAGTTCATATTGAGGAACATACCTTTGAAATGTTACTAGAGCGGCTCACAGAATGTCCCAAAGCCTTCTCATTCTGAAAGAGGAAGAATAGGATCGCTGTTAGCAACAGTGATCAGCAGCAACAAATCAGAGTTATGAAGATATACTAAAGCTGGTATTAGAAACAAAATTCCACAGAGAAAGACTTACAGCTGTTGCTTTTAAGGATGTTGCTTCTACTGACATGAACCTGATTTATGCTAATCACTAAATTGCTGTGTTTGCTTAACAAGATATTACCTTGCAGAAAATCACACAGCCAAGACAAGTACAAAGTGAGAAATACTAGAACAATGATTTATTCTCTCTATGAATACTGCAAACCCTTTTCTCAGATGAAGCAGATATGCTTCATCTGTATCTAAAGGCAAACATCCAACCACTAAAACTGAAAGCACTTGCTTAAAGAAAAACAGAAGTATCACAGTGATGTCCGGAAACAATTGTGAATAACCACATACATGTCATTTCAGGAGACAAAGCAGAATTACTGAGGAACATCCTTTTTACCAGAGAACTCAGAATTAAACTGGAAGATGAAAATGCAGAAGATGCAATTCTCAAAACTGGTATCACTGATGACTGTATCTGTTACTCACTTTTCAGTGTGCACACCGTGACTAGTAAGGATGACAATCTTACCTCCTACCAAAACAAACTGTAAGTTTCACCTGAGGTATTTCATTCTTTAAGGGTTCCTTGTTTCTGAACATCAGTTTACCGTATGTGTAAATGGACAAAATTGCTCCACTGGAAGAGCCTAGAAATTGCTCTGCAAAAACTTTTTTTCTTTCCTAAGCAAATATTATGAACAGGGGAAGTCACCACATTTGGTTACAGATCAGTACGTATGTTCTTTAAGTCTGGGAAGCCAGGATACAAATTGGTTTGAGATTTAAACCTTCCGAAAAAAGGGTAAATTTAGTACTTTCTCCTATGGGCTCTATGCTCAATAAGTGATTCTAGAAGTGCATCTTTTCATCTGGGATTTTAGGAGCCAAACTTTTTCACCTTTATTCCTGAATAAATTTAACTTAACAGAGACACTTTGACAGCACTGTCTTCCAGTTCTCATTGGCACTGACTGATTATATAGAGCTTGAGATCAGTAGTCCTGTATATTAACAAATGGGGACATAAAAAAACCCAAACCCCTTAATAGTCAATTGCTGTTACTCCTATGCCCAGCCTTGGGCATAGCACACTGATTTCAGACCTCCTGCCTATGGTTTGTTCCAATTCAAGTGACCTTCAATGACTGAAGCCCACATCAAGTCAGACCAGCTGGCTGGGTACCTAGCCATGCCCACACTTTCAGATCCATGCACTCTCATACACTTCTTCCTATAAGACATGCCCAGAGCAACTTCAGAGCTTTGTGTGGAGAAAAGGCAAGGCAAAAAAAAACTTCAGCACGTGCTTACATGTCCATGGTTCCGCAGGCTGTCCTTGCCTTATATATATATATATATATAAAAATACTGCTTGTCTCTCAGCACAGTCCCAGGCACTGCCTCAGCTGACAGATATAAATTGTACTTCCTCCCTTAAAAACTTGAAGAAGCAAATATAGCGTTCTGAAAACCTCTGTATGTAGGAGTTTGAATACCCAGAAAACAGTAAATTAATATTTCAGAAGAACAGAGGAGAAGCAACCAGGGAACCCCCACCAATTTTGAATGATGGACAACCTAAAAGTCAGCACGGATCAGTTTAAGGTCTGGAATAGTTGTGGCCTGCAAGGCTGAATTTTACCTCTGAGATGGCTATAAGCTTTTGTTACATAGGTAACACTATTCCTGGAAGAGAAATAAACATGTAAAGACATCCAAAAATATGGACATGAGGCTTACATGAAGTTTACATTAGATGGAACTACTGCCAGAACCAGTAGGGCTAAGAACCAACTCCAACCGTAAGAGAAGGACCTAGCTGATTTCATCAAAGGCAGTGTAACTATAGCAACAGGGGAAAAAAAAAAGTTCATTGAAGCTTCAGAAGTCAGAATGAAGAAAAAGGAGTCAGAGACATGTTCTCAAGCTATGATGATAAGAGATCAACACAAGCTGGCAAGCACAAAGACCTGTCATTGCCTATACATATGGTGTGGGGGGAAGCAGGCTGTGCTTGGCCTCCTAGGGACATGTAGAAGGTAAACAAAGCAAGACGATGTGGGACAAGGGAAAATGATAGTGAAGAGTGATACCCGTGGCCAAGAAATCTGCCTGAAGCAACACATACAGCTCCACACAGGGGCCAAGTCTGAAATCCAGCCATAGGTGTCAAAGACTTCTAGGTGAAATTCCTAAAGACAAAAATAAAAAGAGCAGAGGTTTCTTCACATTAACTCGACACTCCCCAAATACTGTTGTCTAGCTGAAGCAGCAGCCTGCAAGGGAGTATGACTGAACTTACACAGGCACCTGTGTTGAAAAGGATGCGCTAAAATTCAATAAGCACAAATAGGCTGGACGACAAGACCTGTATTTGCACAGCATGGTAAATGATGCAGAACAAACATACTCTTAGCTGTGCCACAGAAACTAGCCTTTCTGCCTCTGCTCGCAGAACTGATTTTATCTGATGGATGCCAGGAGCCTCTAAGAGAAAGATGCTCATATTACCTTTATTGATATACTGTTGGAAACATACCTATCAAAGGTTTCAGTCAGTAGACGACTATAAACAGCTGCTTTTGTTATTGAAATAGTGATCATTTTTAAACAACAAAGTGGTCTTGAAATACATTCCCTTAAGGATTACAGAATGCACACAAACATGTAATTAGGTAACTGTGATATTCCTAAAGGACTCCTAGCCACCTAAGTGCTCTTTCACATCTCAGATTCTTTATCACACAAAGCTGGCACATCAATAAGATGAACTGGAAATTCACTACAGCTTTAGCCCAGATTGGCCAAAATCTGTACTTTAAAGAGCTACTTACACCAAGCAGGAAAAGCATCAACTCAGCCATATTTTTATGGAGTAACAACTGACCCCACAGCCACTACCAGATCCAACAGAGACTGGCAAATAATGCAGTTTTCAGTCTGGTTGTCCTGTCAACTACCAAGCAGCCCCATAATCCAGATAAAATTGCTTCAGCCCTTGGACACCAACTGACCCTGTCTTAGCCTGTCCTTTAATCAAGGACATTGTTTGAAACAGCTGCTCTAAGTCTCAAGAGTTTTGTACATGCATACTTTAAAAAGTGTTGGGCTGAAAAGAGATAAACAACTGAACTGTGCTGTACAACAGCAATTTCCAGTTCACTTCGACTACACAAGCAGCACCCCTGCTGAAGAAAGAAAATACAGTCCTTTCTTTTCAGCGACTTGCAAAGGACCAAAAAAAAATATTTATTTTTTTTAAATCCTTAAACAACAACAGGAACATCTCTCAGTAATATAGTTCATGAAGCCCAGCTGGGCTGCTTAACTCTCTTTTACAAATAAAATAATAAACATCTATTCTTCAGAAAAAAACACCATGGAAGCCATTAAATAGAGCCAGTGCTTGCTGGTGTTTCCCATGCTGATAAACTGAGGATGCTGTTATATTTTCCAGTCACTAAGATACAAAAGTGCTGTAAGCCATGGAAGGACTCCTGGGATAGGTAGATTTTAATGGCAGGCACAGTTACTAAGTGAAGAACAAATAAACATTATTTTAAAGGCAAACAAACAAAAGCTCAATTTTCATACTTCATTTATCACCACTACATTCATCCTGGGATCTTTTATCAATTATTCACAAATTAACACTGACATAGAAATGGTTTCTATTACAGTACTATCACTACCCAACAAATAAATGTCTTCAGAGGTGTTTTCTAGTATGTGCCATTGCACAGTAGGACATATTCTAGTCTGGTAATTACAGCTCCAAACAATCTCTCCTTCCCTCTTGCAAAAGCATTAGTCTTTGCACTTGAATGAAAGGTCAAGACAAATGCAACATCCGCCAGCATGGACCATACAATTACCTCCGGTTAAAGCAAGTGTCACTCTACTTTAGCCAATCAGTCTTTTTGTATGCGATAATTGGAATTCTGATTTTTAAAACCATCCTACTCAACTAAAACCACTTGGCAGACACTTTAAAGAAAAAAATCTAGATAGGAAAAATTTACAAGTGCAACTTGTAACTTCTCCTGAGCCACTCACTGCCAGCTGCTGCTCTGACCTTCTCATCAGAGCCTGGCTCTAGGGAAACGCAGAGGAGGGCATAAGCAGGGAAATGGCTGAAAAGCAGAAAAACTGCTACCGCTTCCTATGGTGACATGTTCCTCTAAACTTTGGATGCACTTGCTTGCAACCCTCCCAACTTCGCTTTCCTTTTCTATCTCTCCCTTGAATTGCTCCCTTCTGTGAGTGACAGAGCTGCCTCCTTCCTTCAGCAGTTGCTTCAGCTCACATCTGCTTTCCTGCAGGGCTCTTCATCTTGCCTTCTCCACCTTGCTGGCTCATTTTCCCTTCTGCCACCATTTCTTGGTTACTCTTGCATGACAACTCTGACTTCTCAGTTCAGAGATCTAGAAACTGACACCTCCCTCCCATTCTCCCTTTTACCTCAGTCTTTCATATTCAGAACTTACATTTGTTTTACTCTTGCTTCCCTACCAAGATACCCATTTTCACTAAGCACAACAGATGTGTAACTTACACAGCCAAACCCAGAAGACTTGTGAACCCCAAACCACCAGTTCCTATCATGTGAGCCTGCAGGAGGGTCCCCACTCACTGATAACAATTCAGGCAGCCATAGCTGCTCTTGTGCGCTTACAAATACCAATGTACCATGATGACCCTTCTTCAAACTCAGATGTAGAACTAATGCACCTCAGCAAGTGGGCATCCTAAAGAAATGCAACTTGGATGTCCTTGCCAGGACGGAAAAGGGAAAGTTTCCAGGTAAAATAGTTTTGTGTTTCCAACACTTTGGTTTTCAGTCAATAAGGCAGGGACATACAATACAACAAAGGAAGCAGTCTCACAGCTTGTGTAGCCTTCTTCTGGCTACACCCTTGAC